CTGTGTTTTCTGAGCCATTGCAAGGCCAACGCTTTGGCCAAACTATTGCCATGAATTGAGTCACAAAAGTACACAACTCTCTCAGCATATTCGTGGTTTTATAAGACGTTAACGATGAAAGCTAACAAACGTCATTAGATTGTGGCTTACGCTTGGGTCACCTCATCTTATTCAAGTTGAACCCTCGATTCCTTCGTTGTCCAGGTTTTTGCACCTCCCGTCATCACCCCAATATAACAATCGAGATTCATAATTTCATACGATCATGCTCTACCAGCTAGTAACTGCGTTCAAATAACTAGCTCGTACAATGTATTAGTTTTCATCACAGCGCAAAGGTTCGGTCGAGCTATGGAAACGTTGATCTCTTGCTCACATTCAAACCATATTCTCGAGCTTTACCATTGGATATAATCGGCCAGGCATTGTAAATGATGCCAACCTCTCATGAGTCTTTAGACTCCCTAGGCGTCTCGGGGTTGGCTAATCAGCGAACTTCCCGCTGACCCATTTCGGGCTTTCGCCAACTCATATCGGTATAATCGGTATAATCCTTGCAGACATATAATCAATTATTCCAGAAGCGATATAACTCATCGTTTGTGTAAACTTGGTACTGGCTTGGGACCGGGACGAATACGACGACACCAGTGGTGTATATTAATAGCCCATTTACAGCGTCGATCATCTTTCAAATTTGGCAGAGATGTAAAATTCTCCACTTCGCATTATCAATTCGGTTGTGAGAGTCCTCTCCTAAAGTCTTCCTTCGTTTCTTCCGTTAAATTCAGTTCGCTCTTGTCACTCATTTTGTCTTTGGAAATGTTTTACCGCGCTTTACTTCTCTCTTGTATTTCTGTGTTCCACGCTACGTCCGCGCTCTGCACGAGACAACGACTTCAAGACCACTTAGACCTCTTCTTTGTAGACGCAATATCGCACGATGCCCTGCCTCTTGCACCCAATGTCAAAATTTCCAGCAATGGCGTTATGCAGCTAAACTTAAACACCACCGCATTCGCCAACACAACATGGCTGGAATCACCTGGATTCAAGATACAAGTAGTGGATATTTTAGCATGTCAGGCGGCACGTTATACAGTCGCGAGAGAGAAACAGACAAACGGGACAGAAGTGCCTGCGCTGATCTCCGTACGCGTGGGTCTGGCTGACAATGATGGACATATCACCGAAATCGAAATTACCAATGTCGTTAAAGGTGAAAATATACTCTTCTCCCCAGACACATTTGAGCACAGGACGCCTCCCCTTTTCAACAGCAGTCAATCTTTTCCTCCCGGCGCTCCCATTTCTGCGGCGAAGGTCTTAACAAGGAAGGAAATCATCGCCGTGACGGAAAATTACGTGAGTGGCGTGCAAAAGGGCGACAAATCGATAATGAAGGTTGGGCCAGCATGTCCAAGAACAGAAAATGGCCAAAGAGTGCGTGATCACTGCGAAGATGGCGACGAGGGACTTTCGAAATTCAAATGGCCGATCCAGAACAGGCGGTGGATTGCCGATCCAGATATGGGCATTGCATTTGGCGCGTATATCGTACAAGGGACTTTTGGCGAAGATGACAATACCTGGGATTTGGTCAATGAGTTCATTGCGGTAAAGGATGGCTTGATCAGAGAAGTGCGGGCAATTATGGAACATGTCCCCAAAGGTACTAACGCTATCTGGCCGGAGGATACTGCAAGAACATATGCCACGACGTAGACATGTAAGGATAAACTAGCAATTATCAGGCCACAATTAGACGACTATACCTATTCTCTTTCATTGCCAAATGGCGAATGAACCTCTTTAGGCAATCAAAATTACTGAACAGTCAACAGATTTAAGTTTGTAATTGTCTCCACGAGGCTAATACTGCTTAAATGAACATAACGGCGCTTTGATCCATTTCTTCCGGCACTACAATGGGATCCTACGTGTCCGTGCCTGACAAGCAAGATGCCCAAGCAAGCAAAGGTCCTTCCACAGCGAATAACGGGCATATTCCAGCAGCGTCGCCAGATGCACACTCTGCGATACTTCCCAAAAGCACTGCTGTGCGCAAGAACTCTACCACGACAAAATTCTCAAACGCAGCTACTTCCAGAAAGAGAACTCTTGAACCACTTTTTCATAATCCAGAGCCAGTCCTTCAACTTCCAGTCGAGAGATATGTCCGCAATGGCAAAGTAGGTGTAATAGTCTCGGCTTGTTTTGGCGGAGGTCACACAGCATACAGAGGCTTCGATACACACCACTCTAAGATCGTGTATGATGTATCAGAGGACGAACGGAATCACGAGACACCAGAAAAAAGGCAAGATGGTGAGATCCTTCTGTTCGATAAAGACGTCATCGAGGCTCTACTGAAGCAAGACTTTGAAGGTGGCGGAATATTGGCAATGAAAAAAATGGGACGAACATGGATGCCCCGCTGGGAGAAAGGGACGCGTAATGTGGTTTGGGTGGATATTGGTGAAGAATTTGAGATTGAGGAATACGATGGACTTGAGCGTGTGAGATTAAAGAAACACGTTTCTTGGTGGAAGGCGTAGACTGTTTTGGGGTCAATCTCGGCACTCTCTCCGTAGCGCATCATTATATGAAGCGTGCTTCCTAGCAGTCGGTTTCCTCGAATGGAGGTGAGTTAACGATTCATATGCCTTCCAAATTGTGGGACTTTTTGAGTATTTGTCAAAATCTGTTAAGAATATGAGGCCTAAATTTTGCGAATCATTTTACAGCTTCCACATAATACCCGAATGGACTTAACGAGCTGACTTCTTGATAGGCTGTGCAAACCTATCCTGATCTGAGTCTGCGATATCAAAAAAAGAAAAGTGTGGTATTTTCTGTTTGAGTTTCGATCTGAGAGTTGCGAAACTATTCTTCATATTCACCATTTTCTTTTCCACAATGACACCGGTTTCGAGAGACTGCCCTAGATTAGTGTAGGGCACGGCTAAACATGAACTTAATCAAATCTTCGCCGAAAAGTCTGTGCAGAGATTTTGGACCTGACGATCATTGGGAACGTTGATAAGGTATGAAATTAAGATCATCGGAAACTACTAACTGTCAAGGTGACTTTGCTTCCTCAATGGTTGCAATGATATCATTCCCACATTTTTAGCTTATAGGACTCTTACTATGTTGCCCCTTCTTTCGATCAGTGCATTGTTTCTTACGTCAAACACGGTGTCCGCAAGTGAAGCATATCCAAGAGCTTATGAAAGTGTGTGGACTGAAGAAGACATCCGGGTTCATGCTCGCGGCCTCCAAGAAAGAGGAATTGTACTGAGTGTGGAATCTCCCAAGCCTTTTGCTGCTGCAGGTTCCGAAGAAGGTGCGTAGTCCTCATAGAATCCACGTCAGCTAAACTAATGCGCTCGAAAGTCAGTGAAAATTCGATTCCCCTATTCATCAAATCTGGAGTACCTGCTAGCAACAAATATGTTCGACTTCTCAATACACCTGCGGGAGATGTGGAGATTCGAAACTGGAAAGACCAAGTCTACATGGCACCTATTACCATTGGAGACCAGGACTTCTTAGGCGTTGTGGACACGGGCTCAAGCGATACTTGGGTCATTGGTGCAGGTTACAAATGCGGGAATAACGCTCAGATTGGGCCATGTGCCTTCGGCGCGGCATACAATAAATCCAAGACTTTCTCCTCCGGAAACAAAAAATTCAGCATCGTCTACTCGGGAGAAAGTCTCCAGGGAACCACGGCCAGGGAGACAGTGAAGATGGGAAACATCACCGTCACTGACCAACAAATTGCCATAATTGACAATGCTCGATGGAGAGGAGACGGGCTATCTTCTGGATTGATTGGACTATCATTCCCCAGCAATTCGGCAACCTGTTCCCTAGTGTCGAGCGCGCAATGTGATTCAAGCCCGCTCTTTACAAGCATGTACAAGAAAGGCCTCGTTGCAAAGCACTTCAGTATCGCGATCAATCGAGCTGATGAGGGACCTGGAGCACTTGCTTTCGGAGGATTACCTGGCGGCGCCATACGCTACGGCAAAGACTTCGTCAAGATCCCAATGCAATACCTCGTCTTTGGAAACGAAGATGCAACAAAGAAGCCAGCAGGTAGTGCGGATTTCAGAGTCTACCGATTTACTGTGGATGGATTCTCAATCGGCGAAACTTTTCAGCCCAAGAAGATGCAGATCAATCTCGATAGTGGAACGACCCTCTTACTTCTGCCAAAAGACATTGCGAAGTCCGTTAATGATCGTTTCGTGCCTCCTGCAAAGTTCAATCCACGGTTGGGTTATACCGTCGATTGTGCTGCGAAGGCGCCAAAGTTTGGAGTCAAAATTAGCGGCACGACATTTTGGATTGATGGCAAGGATCTTGTACTTCCAGCGGAGAAGGCGGGTGAGGGATGTACCAGCGCGATTGGTGAGTCCAGTTGGCCTGGTGGATTGATATTAGGAGCGGCTTTCATGAGAAACGTTGTGTCGGTGTTCGATGTTGGTGCCGCGGAGATGAGGTTCGCCGCACGAGTGAGGTGATCAGTGATGATCATAAATATATGTCTTCTTTGATATGATAGATTGGGTCTGTTGATTATTGCGTAGATGAAAACTCTCTGATAGGTTCCGGACTAAAAATAATCACATCCCAGTCAAGATTAACAGTGTAATAAAGATACCACGCTGTTAAGTAGCACCAATATAATCAAGGTAGATGTCAATCCCAGCGCATCGTTTGCTGATCAACCTGTAGTTGTTACTCTCAGTGAGAAAATCCTGGTCCCGATTTGAAGCAGCTCAAGCTTGAATGAATTCTATTCAAGCAAAGATGGAGAATCGAGATTGTCAAATGACCAAAGAACGATGCGGTAGCGACGGGGGTTCAACCTTCGGAGAAAAGAGTGACACTTGTAGCAGGCCCAAAAAGTTGACAAAACAAAAATGTGAACAAATCATATTGATGAGAGTGGGGTTCTGTACCAATGTTAATATTGATCACTCTTTCAATGATAGTGGGAGTATGTACCGAACCCACGCATCTTTCGATACTTGAGAGCTAAGTTAAACTTAAGTCAAGCGCCTTAGACCACTCGGCCATCTCACCGTAAATTTGCGAGCATTTTGAGTAGTTTACAATATAAATAATTATTTCATACATACGATAGGGTAAGTTTTCTGAACAGTACCGCTGTATTAAAATGGTGTGATTGGTTGAGTGGAATTTACATTGCCCGTAGAAGCCGCCCTCTTCGGTTCTTTAAACCACTCTATTCTCCTCTGCCGACCCATCCTCTTTCCTCCTTCGCGATTTATCTGTATCACAATCTGGAAATGTCCAACCCCTGACTTTACAATGTTCTTATATGCTCTCAAAAATCTTACTAGGTCAAAAACTACAGTAACCTATGTTGACTTGGTAGAATAAAATTGGAGAGGACGCGCGATTAGTTCTATTCTAAGACGCGCTCTCCGCCTCTGCTTTCCTTCTCAGTTCTTGAAAAAGATCGCTCCGTTTACGCAGTCGCGGACCAAACTTCAAAAAAGCAAAAGGGACGACACTTAATCCAATCATCACGAATCCAAGCAGATAAAAGCCCCACTGGATCCCCAAGCCCCCATACAATGCCTCCGTGCACAATGGCAATCCCGCTGCCAGTAGACTTCTACTGGCACTTGTTGCAGCCATTGCACTTGCTGCATAGACTTCGTAGGAATCTATCAGGTAGTTTGATAGCGATATGAAGATCAGGTTGTACCCTATACCAAATGGGACGACCGCTAACACCGTAACCATGACTGGTGCTGATTGGGGATGACTTGCTGTTGTTCCAGTCCAGAACATACTGAGAATAAAAAACGGTCCTGCGAGGCAAGCCAGCGGGAGTCTACGTCGATCATCTTTGTTTTGAATTCTCATCGTACCTCCCCACTTTTCAATTCTCCTTATACGCCGCTCGAATATCCACTGAATCCCAAAGGCAATTACGCCTCCCAATCCAGCTAGCACATGTCAGCGTTTGTAGGCCAGCCTTGAACAATAACTTACCTGCTATGAAGGTCAAACCAGCTTCACCTGAACTCAGTTTGAACCCGTCTATCATGGTGTCAGTTGGTTCTAGATATAGGTGGGCTCTCAACCTTGACAACTTACCTTCATATACCTTATGATAAGCTTGAAAGAAAAGGTAATATATACCGTAGACCAGCGCCAGATATAAAGAACTGAACGAGACCAGTATCTCCTTAAACAACATTCGAAATGGCACACCCAACTGTTCTCTCGCAACCTCTTGTACACTTTTTCTTCCTTTCAGCTCTATCGGCGCGAACACCCTCTCTCCATTAACCAGTCTCATTCTCTTAGCTCTGTTCTTCAATAGAATGGGCTGAAAAGTTTCTGGATTCAGTGCGCACAGTACGAGAGACGCAAGTGCAATGGTGAGCGCAGCGAAATATGGCAGCGACCAGCTTTGAACAGACAAATACCCAGCGAGAATAGCTCCAATCGCCTGGCCGAAGCCAGCAGCCGTGACGAAGAACCCTATCGCGCGGCCTCTGTCTATCGGATCCGGAAAGAGGTCTGCAGCGGTCCCACCAATGACCGAAAGAGGCGTCGCAGCTCCAAGCCCCATGATAAATCGGAAGATTATTAACGCCATCATATTTGGCGCGAGTCCGCAAGCCAGCGTAGCAATAGTATAGACAGTAAACGACCCAAGCAAGACCATCTTCCGACCATGAAACTCACTCATTGGAGCCGTAATCATCGGACCAAAGACGTATCCCAATAGATACATTGATCCAGGAAGAACAAGAACGAGCTTGCTTGTGATTCCAAATTCTTTCGACATGCTCTTCGTGCCAGAAGATAGAGTGCTTCCTAGGTTACTGTTGTTGACCGTATTTATGACGACTGAGAGTACAAGCATTTTCTTCCACTGTTCATTCCAATCAGTCATCGCATGCTAACACTGGGGTTCCCAACTTACGAATGGCCAATTATGCGGGTTGTCTGGGTCGTTTGGTGCGAAAGAAAGTACATGCTTTGATGCAAGAGGTGATTCTGTCCATGGAGGCAAGTTCTTCTCCACATCTTCACTCATCTCCTTTTCCTGCTCCGATTCTTTTGCAGCATAACTCTTACTAGGATTACTCGATATCCTTCTCGTAATTTCCGGCACGGACATGGTCGTCTTGCCTTCCATCGTTCATCTGCTGGAAGACAAGATTGGAGAAATGATAGCTGCTGCATTTGAAACTTCTTTTACCATTTTCATGGTCTATCATTTTGACGCCAAAATGATTCAACCCTACAACTGACGTCAAGTCTCCTATGAGAAAGGCACGGGCGGGTATTGGTTAGAGTTTGGTGAGTATTGGCATTGAAACTGATGGGACCCTTCATCGATATTATCTCTTTTGGGTGTTTCAATACCTGTTTCGTCAACAATTTCAGCCGCATAAAGGCCGAGCGACCGAAGTGATGAATGATCTACGTCCCCCTGGTCCTTGCTGTATAGATCCTTTAGATTGGAATCGAGATCATCATATCACAGTCTTTGATAATAATCCAAACTCAAACTCGCTCATCAATTATTGCTAAACTGCGCGATTTCCAAGGATGGAGCTCACACTGAGTCCCAGCTCCTACAGAGGACCTAGTGAGATATGTGAACATCTAAAATTCCATTGCCCAACTCCATACTCCCTCTAGTGTGATGAATCTATTTATATTTAAAAGAAGGCCGATACCTTTGCTGTCAAAGACTTCCGCAACCACAAGCCAAAATTCCACACCCTCTCCGGCAAGGATTCGCTGTGACCACAATATTCTATCTCCATACCTTCCAACTTCCCGTTCCTGCGCCAAGTATCGAGAAGCTCAAAATACGCTGGCGAGCCCTTTCCATAGGAAGCGTCCCGCAGCCACTTGTTTTTATCTGCACCCTCCATGGTGTAGTAGCCCGGTGTACAATCGGCGACGAATTTGTACTGTGTCTTTGCAAGCTCCACAATCGTGTCCACCCACTGGGTTTCGGCCTGCTTGGAAGGTTGAATGGTGTTTATCTTGCGTTCGACGACTTCTTTAATAATGTAAGCGATTTGGCCTGCCTGCTCGGTGAGTGCATGAGTGTTGTTTTGCGTATATCCCGATTGAGCCATGAGCATAAAAAACGCATTTGGAAAGCCGTGGGTGTACAAGCCATGGAGTGTTGACGTTCCGTCCTCCCATTTCTTCGTCAAGGTAATGCCATTTTCTCCGCAAATCGTGGCACCGAGTCTCTGGCAAAAGTCGGAACCGACTTCAAACCCAGTTGCGTAGATAATCAGATCCAGGTCGTAATGCTTCCCAGCAATCCATAAACCATCTTCGTCCACATATTGAGATTTTGGCTTCTCTGAGGTATCAACAAGGCTGACGTTTCTGTTATTGAACGTCGGCAGATAGTCGTTGTTGAAGCAGGGCCGTTTGCAGAACAATTTATACCATGGTTTGAGCTTTTCCGCAGTCTCTTCATCATCCACGTGCTCACTCACTCGCGCTCGAATCTGGTCCATCATTCGACGATCTGCTTGGTCTTGCTTCTCCATGTTGTCATCCATATTTTTCTCGTCAGCCCTGCCACCCCAATGTGGAAGATTATGCATCGTTTCAGTCCAACTGTCTTGGACCAAGTCTTCTTCTTGTTCACCACCAGAGACAATGATGTTGAAGTTCTCAATGCGCCGCTTTTGCCATCCTGGGGTGCGTTGCATCTGAGCTGCGAATTTTTTCTCTGTAGGCGCATCCATTCGGGCTAAGACCGAAGATGGCGTGCGTTGGAAAAGTGTAACTTCTTTCGCATACTCTGACAAGTGCGGTAGGATCTGAATCGAAGATGCTCCTACAGACTGTATCAGAGGCTCTGATTATACCTCTGCGAGGGACAAGCACTTACCGGATCCAATGACGCCAACTCTCTTACCTTTTAGTTTGTGCATACCACCTTCAACGTTACCACCAGTGCTCTCATAGTCCCAACGGGCAGTGTGAAAGCTCGGTCCCTTGAAAGTCTCAATTCCCTTGAGTGATGGAAACTTGGGTGAATGTAGAGTGCCTCCAGCGGAGATGAAGAATTTGGCCTGTATACGATCTCCTTGCTTAGTTTTCGCTATCCATCTCGACTTCGAACTATCCCAATCTATGGCGTTGACCTCAGCTTGAAAGACAGCTCGGTCATACAGACCAAATTTGTTTCCAACCTTCTGCGCATAGCTTCGAATCTCGGGGCCTTTTGCATACTTCTCCGATGGCATGAAATCGAGCTCCTCCAGAAGAGGCATGTAGATGTATGATTCTATGTCACACGCGACCCCAGGATACCTGTTCCAATACCACGCCCCACCAAAGTCTGCCGCCTTATCAACTATCAGGACGTCCTTGACCCCTGCTTGAATGAGTCGAACTGCAGCAAGCATGCCTCCAAAGCCCCCTCCAAGAATAAGCACCTCCGCTTCTCTGTCAACAGGAGCTCTCTTCTTCTCATTGTCAGACCACGGATCTGCTAGAAAGCCCTGGAGTGTCTCGTCGTTGACTGTGCGATATTGCTTGATTCCATCACTTCGCAAGCGCTTCTCGCGCTCTGCTTTGTACTTCTGCTCGACATCGTGTTGGCTCGATTCAGATTTCATGATGAGCTGTAGTTTTAGGCAGAGAGATATGAGACGTAGAAGGTAAAACGGTTAAAAAACAAAGGAAAAAGTTGTCGAGTAGAATGGTTAAGCAAGAGACGTTCCAGGCGCTTTATTCATGACTTCCAGACTCTTCGATACACCATATACACCATCAATAGCAAGGCTGATTCACGTGAAGCCCTACAAATTCCATAACCAAGTTTAAAATCTTGGGTCATGACGTCGACTCTTCTTGGAAGCATTGAGAATCACTGCTTGAGCACGAAGACATAGTTGTAGTGAAACCTTCGATAATCAAAATGACGATACTTTCACACAGACAAAAGGCGTGATCTGTGAAGCCCGTGGATGACCCTAATTGGGCAACCCTGCTGACATACCAACCGATCTTTAGAGGTGGCGGATTTAAAGAATGCGACCGTAAGAAAT